GCTTCATTTTGAGTTTTACCACATACTTGATGAGGTCGTACTATACCCAGCTTTAGAACAGCCAGACCATGCAAGCGGCAGGTCCTAGGCTATCACTAACACGATCACGAGCCACGTTGCGCCTCAAGAATAGCGCTTACCCACAAGGCGAGGCTACAAGTCTTCCGTACAATGCCTGGTCTTGGTTCCCTGGGGCCATACTTTCAAAACTCGCTAAGTGAACGTAAATACTTACGCACTATTTTCTCGTCTATGATTGGTGGATTTGGCTTGAAAGACCGTCAATGATTGGCTGATGAACTTACGATTTCTTAAATTTTTTTGGAAAGTATAGGCCCAGGGCCTATACTTGGGCCCAGTATTGGCCCAGGGCCTATACTTTCAATACTCGCTATGTGAACGTAAGTACTTACGCTCTATTTTCTTGTCTATGATTAGTGGATTTTGCTTGAAAGATCGTCAATTAACTTTTTTTTGAAAGTATGGCCTTAACATGGCTTAACATGGCTTAACATGGCTTAACATGGCTTAACATGGCTTAAGATGGCTTAACATGGCTTAACAGGGCCTAACATGGCTTAACATGGCTTAACATGGCTTAACATGGCTTAACATGGCTTAACATGGCTTAACATGTTAAGCCATGTTAATATGCCAAGCGCCCACAACGCAGCCACATATTCGGTGCCCAATGAGTCGACGGCTCCTGTCGTCAATGATCGGTAATTTTGGTGGGGGTTTTGACCGTGGGGCTTGAGAGGCTCGAAATAGTAAGTAGAAATAATTTATTTGAAGAAATAAATAGAATTGAAACTAATTTATTCGAATAAATAAATATAATTGAAACTAATTTATTCCAGGAAATAAATAGAATTGAAACTAATTTATTCCAAGAAATAAATTGAATCGGAAAAATGTGTTCAAAGAAAAAGGATTAATCAAGTAAGTTGTAAGCCAGAGAAAATAATCTGTAAGGCGACGAAGGCTGCCTTGTGTGGTACCGGGGGCTTTACTGTATAACAATGGAATTAATTAATTCAGAAGTTTCGGCACCACTGAAGACTGACGATCTGACCAGCAAGCGCAAGTTGCCAGGCTTTACTCGTCTAGGGTTACTGCTTAGAAATATTAATTCAGCTCTGATTTTGTATCTAAAATTTTAATGTTTTTTACTGTTTGATAAAATTTAGTCCATAAATTTAAAAATGCAGCAAAATAAGTCATAAATCCTCGTTTGGATTAGTTAACGTAGAGTTAATTTTTGAAGGAAGCGACCTAATAATCACCAAAATAAGTTCACACTAGCCATCCGTCCGCTGCCGGTACGTTATTTTTTGTCGTTACAAAAGGGACACACACATTGGGAAACGGACATACATTATTTATGATGGGACGCGGGGGCCTCAATTCATCAATGTCAACGGCCTCCATGCAGCTCGAGGGCTGGTCGGTCCATACTTCCATATAAGCACAACGTCCAGCTCGTCTACAGGTGCGAGACTCGTACAGAAGATGCGACTCTTAATACTTTAAGTTGCATCCCCTGCATTGATAACCTGCCTCATTCAGATTCAAGGCAGGGAGGGAGCTGATGTGTGAGGAGAGCCTTCTATGTACGCTGATAAATGTCGGGATAAAATAATGATCCGCCTCACGAAATTCCTTGGATTAGACAGCTGATACTGACTGACTGCATCATAGAAATCGAAATAAAGATGCCGTGCGTGTGAGCAAGGTGATCCGACATAAAATAGAACTAAAATTTTCCATATTTTTAATCCATTATTCTAGTTCAACACGCATGAAAGCTTTTAAAAAGTTGGAATATTCAGTCAATCAAGAGGCCCAATCGCGAACAGCGTTCAGTCATGCAAACTTCGATGGCTTTGAAAAACTATTTTTACTGATTTCACCTGACTTTTATCCGCATTGTTATCGCTGTATATACATGGATATGGTTTTGTTATTCAGTAAGTTTGCTAATTACTTTTTCTTTCCAGATAATTTAATATGCTTGACTTGAACTCAACATTTGGGCTTTTGTGAAGACTTGTAGAGGTGTTCATTTTGAGAGGGTAAAAATCTGAAACAAGAGTGGACATTTTTTGAATATTTCTGTGCAATTTATTGAGTTGAAAACGCTTGTGCTTGTTTAGTTTCGTCAGTGAGTTGATTTTAGAGTTTCAGTGATGTCATTTCTGCAGCAAGCGCTGTCTCCATTCATTGGACGGCGATCAAAGAAAAAGAGAAATTCCAACTCGAAGGAAAAAGAAGAAGTTCCTCAAACTTTTCCCTATTATCCTGACCCTGTCATCAGGTACAGAAGGGAGAATTCCCCTTTCACGGGGGTTTTCCCTCAAGAACCTTTGTACGACAATGCGTCGTGTAGTTCTCGAACATCATCTGTACGTGGCTGGCAAACCCCGAATGGTTTCGTACCAAGCAGGCCCTTGTCACCTACATTTTCGAAAGAATCCGTTATTGATTACTCTACTCACTCTAGTCTATCCTCGCATCGTGGAACTCATGCAGGCTGTTCAACCAGTCATTTACCGTACTCTACCACGCCAGCATCGCTGATCCAGGCTGAATCTGAATTAACACTAACGAACAGAAGCCCTTCTCCTTCGTTCGTTTGTCAGAACTCAAACCCAACGACGCCATGTGCGACACCGTCTCCCTCTATAGCCCCACTGTCAAAAATTCCAAATATGAAGATGGTATCACCGTCACCGGAACGACGTTCTACAGATTTTGGTCATCGCACCGATAGGCGCAGTATGTCCAGACCCCCGCCCTGTCCAGCCTCGAGCACACGGTCTGTTGGCGTGCAGACTCCGGTTATGGGCCGCCGGATGATTCTGCCAGGAGGAGCCACTCCCGTTTTGGGTAGACGAGGAGTTGTTGGGGTCGTAAAGAGCGGTGCAAATTGTAGAGAGTCGGCCTATAGTCAATGCTCCTTTCAGACTACGTGTTCCGATTACAAACTACGAGACTCGACTAGCCTTTTTAGAGCCTTGAGTCTGACGCCAAGAGCAAGAAGGAAAAATAAAGCTCATGATGAGCTCAGTTGTAGCCGATGTTCCACTACCACTCTGACTGACAACGCTCGGGCTACTCCTGCATCGCTTTCACAAGCATCAACTCTTACGGACATTTCTTGTGCCAAGGACAATGGTTCGGCGTCAACTGAATTAAATTCCATGGGTCGGGAGAGTGTCGTTGGGAAGTCGAGTTTCAACGGCAGCCTTGCGAGTGGAGCCAGTGTGATAGGTAAAAGAAACGTAGTTAGGAGTGACAGCAGCAGCAATGGTGTGGTTGAGGTGCGTGTTGGCGAGGCTGGACTGGTCCGAAGAAGAAGGAATAAAATACCCACCTGCCAAGACGGAGTGTCGACTAGCGTGCGAGTTTCCGTGCACGAACAAACATGGCATTGCCTGCCGCTCTCCGGCAGTGGTAAGTATACCTAACATTAACCCTGCTTGCATGTAATGTGAAATGCTTATGTATTTGTTTAATATGCAATCACTATAAAATTATTTTACTTTTTCTTATATGATACCTTGCTGTTAAAGTTGTACAATCTTCATTAATGTATAATTCAACTTCATAAAGGCTTATAGGAACTGTCTGCATTTTAGGACGTCGATCAAATTCCAGTAGCGTTTTTTTGTTAATTTAATGCAACGCCGAATTTCCTTCAAGGTTTTCTCCCAGTTTACAGTTATTTTTCTGTCACTTCATTGCGTCGTAAAGTGACAACAAATCAGAACACAATGCAGATACCTTCATAGTTACATGCTATAACCTCTAAGACGTCCAGCCATCAATGTTGCAAATACTCTGTCACTGTTCGCGCAATTGCAATGTTAATTGCTAATGTTTGTTAATTCGCGCATTCAAACCGCGGCTAATGCTTGTTAATTCGCGCATTCAAACCGCGGCGGAAAGGAATACTCATTAATTTGCTTATTATTATTATTAATTCCACCCGCGCCTGTAAGAGAATGATCGTTAGTTTGCACAATTAACGCGTGCCTGCAATAAATGTCTAATAATTTGCGTATTCCATCTGTGACTAACGCAGGATCTTCGTTTATTTGCGTATTCCACCCAAGCCCGCTGAAAAAGCCCGTTTCTACGCGTATTCCCCTAATGGCCGTATAAATCTTGCATCACAAACGGTAATTAGATCTTAACTGCCGTCCTTATTTACCCACAAAGAGAAAACTGTTCTAATGAAAAGGATCTTTGGCCGCATTTGTTTTTTTCAAGAACTACCACTTATCACTCAGAAAAATGGATGGGTAATTTTTCCGATTAATGATGCAATTTCTCACCCACAATACGAGCAGATAGGGCGGACGTAGCATTGATACGCCCTTCTTTTTAAGCGTGCCAAACTGTGTCAATATGACCCAGAAAATCGCAATAACATGGCAATTTAGACAAAGTCTCATTTTATGCTTTGCGTTTTTTGCTATACACCTTCGCAATAAGTATTTTTATCATTGATACTTGAATGATACTTATCGTCATAAGTATCATTACTAATAATGATACTTGTCGTCATAGGTCTCTAGGATATTACTAACCGTTATTTCCTTGCTTGCTACATTAAAACGGCATTTAAAAACCTGTTTTCCCACTAATTAATGATTAAATAGTGTAAGTTAATAGTAGTTAATAGTTAATAGTAGTCAATAGTTAATAGTAGTCAATAGTTAATAGTAAGTAATAGTTAATAGTAAATAGTTGATCAGCCTTTCATCGGCCACCCGTGCGCCGGAAATGATTTTTATTCGGAAATGAAAGCCGCCCCCGACGCCCCGTATAATTGCCGGGTACTGCGGGGCACGCGAGGTGAGTTGCCGGGTGAGTTGCCGGGTGAGTTACCGTGTGAGTTGCCGGGTGAGTTGCAGAGGGAGTTGCCGGGTGAGTTGCCGGGTGAATTTCCGGGTGAGTTGCCGGGTGAGTTGTGGGGTGAGTTGCCGAGTGAGTTACCGGGTGAGTTGTCGGGTGAGTTGCCGGGTGAGATACGGGGGTGAATTGCCGGGAGAAATGCCGGGTGAGTTACCGGGTGAGTTGCCGAGTGAGTTGCCGGGTGAGTTGCCGGGTGAGTTGCCGAGTGAGTTGCCGGGTGAGTTGCCGGGTGAGTTGCCGGGTGAGTTGCCGGATGAGTTACCGAGTGAGTTGCCGGGTGAGTTACCGGGTGAGTTGCCGGGTGAGTTGCCGGGTGAGTTACCGAGTGAGTTGCCGGGTGAGCAGCCGGGTGAGTTGCCGGGTGAGCAGCCGGGTGAGTTGCCGGGTGAGTTGCATGGAGAGTTGCCGGGTGAGTTGCCGGGTGAGTTGCAGGGTGAGTTACCGGGTGAGTTCCCGAGTGAGTTGCCGGGTGAGTTACCGGGTGAGTTGCCGGGTGAGTTGCCGGGTGAGTTACCTAGTGAGTTGCCGGGTGAGTTGCTGGGTGAGTTACCGGTTGAGTTGCCCGGTGAGTTGCCGGGCACGTGTTCGAATGTAACACTTTGGGGTAGGGAAATGACAAATGCCATAGCGTTGAGAAAACTTTTATGTAACTGAATGTAATTAAAACTAAAAAGATATTTTTTTTAAATTAATGCTAAATTAACGGTAAACAAAAATAATTACATTCGAAGATATACCTACAATGGAACAATTGTAAATTAAATCAAACTGCATTCAAAGTCGATGCAAAGAACATGTAATAGTGTATCCTTCAATAGAGTATCCTTCAATAGAGCATCCTTCAATAGAGTATCCTTCAATAGAGCATCCTTCAATAGAGTATTCTTCAATGGAGTATCCTTCAATAGAGTATCCTGCAATAGAGTATCCTTCAATAGAGTATCCTTCAATTATATTTCAAAAGACTTTTTATGGTACCGCGCGTGCAAACTATTATATAGTAGTCGTTCTTTCGTCACCTTTTTTCGTCTGTCTGTCCGTCCGTGATTTCACGTTTTCGTCGACGATAAAATGCGCTTTCTGTCACTCACTGCAGTGAGTACTGAGTTATATATATTTTTCTTTTAGCACCCTATGTTATTCCTTCATTAAATTGTATCGGAGAAACATGGTATAAAGTTACGCTGGCTCGTTAATTTAGAAAACTGATGAAATATGAAATGCACAAGCAAATGGCTTTAGCTCTTTCAAGTATTTAGAGGTCGGCAATTACGGAAATGTTACGACGAAATGTTGTGTTGATATGTGCTATGATGATGCGTCTTGAGTAGAGTTCATCACCCGTAGAGTGAGTAGGTGATGATGAAGGCTCTGTGACACTCCACACTGATTGATGAGTGGCTCAGCACAGCAGACACCATCACCTTCATCATTCTACCTTCATCATCCTAGCGAATTTTATTACAATCACTACCTTATTAGAAATCATTGGAGAACCAGAAGCGACCTGCCGTCAATCCTTGATCGGTAACCGATTATCTGATAATTGATTTTCTAAATTGGGAAGGTAAAATTAATTCTTTTCTTTTGTAAATTTCTTTTTCCTAATATTTATTTTTAATTACTGATATTTTTGTAGGGTGAACGGAAATAGTGTATTGTATCGAAATTCCTGTTCGAAGTTTTGAAAAAGTTTTAAATGCGCTGCAACATGAAAAAAAGTATTGGAAAATGTGTAGCGGAAAAACAGTATTTCAATTCTCAGGTCAGTGAAATAGATGAAAATCGTTATCGTAAACTAAAGTTGACGACCAAATAAGTAAAAACAATTAGGGATAAATTCAACTCAGGTCATTCATATGATTTCAGTTTTGGAATTACTTAAAAATACATGTGAACAGAAATCAGATTTTGCATTGCTTGAAAATTTCAACACTTGAACCGAGTATCTGTTGAACATTCCTCGAATCATTCCATTCCCTCGAATCATTCCATCCCTCGAATCATTCCATCCCTCGAATCATTCCATCCCTCGAATCATTCCGTTCCCTCAAATCATTCCGTTCCCTCGAATCATTCCATTCCCTCGAATCTTTCCGTTCCCTCGAATCATTCCATCCCTAGAGTCATTCCATGCCCTCGAAACATTTCGTTCCCTCGAATCATTCCACTCCCTCGAATAATTCCATTCCCTCGAATCATTCCGTTCCCTCGAATCATTCCGTTCCCTCGAATCTTTCCGTTCCCTCGAATCATTCCGTTCCCTCGAATCACTCCATTCTCTCAAATCATTCCGTTCCCTCGAATCATTCCATTCCCTCGAATCACTCCATTCTCTCAAATCATTCCATTCCCTCGAATCTTTCCGTTCCCTCAAATCTTTCCGTTCCCTCGAATCATTCCGTGTCCTAAAATCATTCCGTGCCCTCGAAACATTCCGTTCCCTCGAATCTTTCCGTTCCCTCGAATCATTCCGTGTCCTAAATCATTCCGTGCCCTCGAATCATTCCGTTCCCTCGAATCACTCCATTCCCTCGAATCATTCCGTTCCCTCGAATCATTCCACTCCCTCGAATAATTCCATTCCCTCGAATCATTCCGTTCCCTCGAATCATTCCGTTCCCTCGAATCTTTCCGTGCCCTCGAATCATTCCGTTCCCTCAAATCACTCCATTCCCTCGAATCATTCCGTTCCCTCGAATCATTCCGTTCCCTCGAATCATTCCGTTCACTCATATCATTCCATCCCTCGAATCATTCCGTGCCCTCGAAACATTTCGTTCCCTTGAATCATTCCACTCCCTCGAATAATTCCATTCCCTCGAATCTTTCCGTTCCCTCGAATCATTCCGTTCCCTCGAATCATTCCGTTCCCCTGGAATCATTCCGTTCCCTCGAACCATTCCGTGCCCTGGAATCATTCCGTTCCCTCGAATCATTCCGTTCCCTCATATTATTCCTTTACTCTAATGTTCCGTCGCTTCATTGATTGCCGTGCTAAGCAGGTTCATCGAGGGATGTATTCTAACTAAAAGTATATAAATTTCAGAACATGCGTTTAAAACAGGCGAAGAAGAACAAAAAGTTCAACGTTGCCAAGTTCCGTAGAGCTGCACGCGGTCAAGTTTACGTTGAAGTCGTCGTGACAATAGTAGCGTGTTATAAAGTTAGCGAAACAACGGTGCGTACGTTGTCTCTTTAAAAGCTCTATAACGAAGAGTTTGTCTACGTTGTTTGTGCACTAATGCACTTGGCGCGTTGTATGCTGCATTAGCAGCTGCAGTCTCCTTCACAGTGCGATGAGAAATAAATACAATGCATTTACTACTCAAAGTTATTACTTAAGACTTGAGTTAAAATAAAATAGTTATTTTGACTTAACAATCGTTATTTTAAATAATTAACCATATTCTTTATAATGAAGGTATTGTAGGCGTAATTAGATTGAGAGCTGAGTAGCAATTTATTGGATTTAATGTATATTAAAATTGTATTCCCTTACACTGAATAAAAGGCATTTGTTTGTTATTTAGTTTTAGTCTACCAATAAATTTAAAGAAAATAAGATAATGAATTAGGCAACTGCAAATAGATGAGTTGTATGCATGTACTCAATGTAACAGGTATTTTTGTAACTTATGCAGGGCTATTACACACTTGTTGATATTGCGTATACTATCCTTATAATGAAAATAATATGCCGGGAAATTACAGCCTATGCAGCCATGCGATTACGTTACAATGACCACTCACAGCGTCGTACAGTTACAGTTACGGTTACAGTTACAGTTACGGTTACAGTTACAGTTACGGTTACAGTTACAGTTACGGTTACAGTTACAGTTACGGTTACAGTTACAGTTACGGTTACAGTTACAGTTACGGTTACAGTTACAGTTACAGTTACAGTTACAGTTACGGTTACAGTTACAGTTACGGTTACAGTTACAGTTACGGTTACAGTTACAGTTACGGTTACAGTTACAGTTACGGTTACAGTTACAGTTACGGTTACAGTTACAGNGGCGAGACGTGTTGTGTGGTGCAGGCGAGACGTGTTGTGTGGTGCAGGCGAGACGTGTTGTGTGGTGCAGGCGAGACGTGTTGTGTGGTGCTGACGAGATGCACATCATCAAATAGATTGTTCAATAAATGACATCAAGATATCGTGGAAGTTATGTTCCAACATTCAGAAAAATGTGTGAGACTTCATGAAAAAAGTATATTTTTTATCGGCGATTGTTTACATTTTCGATAGTGAAGAGATCAAGCAAAAAAATGAAGGATATATCTGTTATATCTGAAGGATTATCGGTTTGCTGGCAAATTCATTTTGATTTTCGCAAGATTAGCGTAATAACCTGCCTTTGTCATTCGCCAGGCTCGGCAGTTGCGCAGTGTCATCGCTGCACGCGTCTTGAAAATCTCCTTTCAACCTCACAAAAATTTATGTGTCATGTTGTCCAAATGCTGACACACTCCAGGCACGTAGAACAGATACGCTCTTTTTGCCGACTAAACTGGGTAAGGGCTACACACACAAAACGAAAATTGCATCACTATTTGGACAAAGTCTCGTTCATTTCTCTGACTGAGCATGTTGGTCTTTGCAGAAAATCTGAAGACTGAGTTGGCATTAAAATATCTGATTATTGCCCATTGTCTCTAGGTGAGTGGTCCCCAGCTGTGGTACGCGGGCCACTAGTGGTACATGAGGTGCATTCGGGTGGATGGCGTGCCACTAGTGGTACATGAGGTGCTCTCAAGTGTTGCACGTACCACTAGTGGAACATGAGGTGCTTTCAGGTGTTGCACGTACCACTAGTGGTACATGAGGTTCTTACCACTAGTGGTACATGAGGTGCTCTCAAGTGTTGCACGCACCACTAGTGGTACATGAGGTGCTCTCAAGTGTTGCACGTAGTACCACTAGTGGTACATGAGGTGCTTTCAAGTGTTGCACGTACCACTAGTGGTACATGAGGTGCTCTCAAGTGTTGCACGTAGTACCACTAGTGGTACATGAGGTGCTCTCAAGTGTTGCACGTACCACTTGTGGTACATGAGGTGCCTTCAAGTATTGCACGCACCACTAGTGGTGCATGAGGTGCTCTCAAGTGTTGCACGTACCACTAGTGGTACATGAGGTGCCTTCAAGTATTGCACGTACCACTAGTGGTACATGAGGTGCTTTCAGGTGTTACACGCACCACTAGTGGTACATTGGGTCCATATTTCAGGAGATACGCAAAAATTTTTGGAGTTATGAATGATTTTTACTTAGTTTTTTGCTTTACAGAAATGCTTACTGCTTAGCGCAAGGCAACCTGTCAACAATTTGCCACTCGCCACACACTTGCCGAGCGACATACCATTAAATATAAACATTACAATGCATAATGTGCTAATTGTGAGCGCATCAAGTCAGATGTAATCCAAGTAATATTATTAAAGTAATCCATTAACTGCTGGTAGTATATATTTGTGCTTAGTGTTACCTGGTTATACTATAAAGTTTTGGCTCCACCTATCTAAATGATCAGTCGAATGCTATTCGATCAATTTGGTCGCTGGATCGTGAGTCGATCTAGAAAGACAGCTAAAGTAGGTCAAAAGTAGCTAAGGA